TCAAGTTGGGCGTCCCCATCCCCATCTTCATCAAGTTTGGGTTTTACCCTCCCCACGTCGACCCGGAATATGCCGGTGAGTCTGGGGGGTGGCACCGGGGGGGATGCGCCGGGTCCCGGCCACGGCTCAGCCCGGGATCATAGAATCATAGAATCCTAGGGGTTGGAAGGGACCTCGAAAGATCCACTGCCAGACCCCACGTGGCTCTGCCTCTCGGTGCTCCCTTTCCACCCAGTTGGTCTTAATTAAGCAGCAGCTCTCTGCAGCCAGCTGGGCTGCGTGGGACGGGAGCAGGCGAGGCAGAGAAAGCCGGGGTGACGCGTGGTGGCAGCGGCTGCTGCTGGCACTGCTGTGCCCCAGAGCAGCTGGGAGCCTGGCTGGAGGGATGGGGGGGGAAAGGGAGGATGGTGGGGATGGAGCCAGGGCCACGTGGAGTTGGCAGGTTGGAGCTGTAGACCATGTGTGGCCACTTGCCAAGTACCACCGAGCCCCACGTGACTGGTGGCTTCTGCTGGGGATTGTGAGCTGGGGACAAGCCCTGAGTGGGGTGGGGTGGTGGTGGTGCAGAGCCGTTTTAACGTGCCATTCCCTGGGGATTGCCATCCAGGGGATCTTCCCTCAGTCTTGCAAGGCTTCCTCTGCCCAAAGTGCTGTGGCAGGAGGGTGCCAGAGCCTGGGCTGAGCCAAGATCAGCTGGTGCAGGAGTGGTGCTGGAGCCCGATGGCCACGGCGTTGGTTGGGGTGGTGGTTCAGGCTGCTTTGCTGCTGGGCTGGTTTTCCTGGGCTGTGCACAGGGTCAGCCCGGGGCCACGCTGCTTTTTTGGATACCCCAAGCCAGGACAAGGCTGTACCACTGCCAGGCCCTGGCTGGGAGCAGAAGGCTGGCATGGCAGTGGGCAGACATTGCCCAGGGCAGCTTGCCTGGCCGTGGCAGCTCCCTCTGCCCTCCCCAGACCAGCCAGCACACAACCTGCCAGCAACGCCAGGCTGTGCTGGGAGGCTCAACCAAGCCCCAGAACCGAGGGTGGGGGGGCACTGCCACTGGCCCTGGGGCTGCCAGCAGGCTGGGGATGCCCTGCAAACATGATGCTTGGGTGCTGGGGGTACCTGACAGCTGTGCTCTCCCTGCAGGCCGGGCCAGCCTGCACGACAAAGCCTCCCTGCGCATCGAGCAGGTCCGCTCTGAGGACCAGGGCTGGTACGAGTGCAAAGTTCTCATGCTGGACCAGCAGTACGACACCTTCCACAACGGCAGCTGGGTCCACCTCACGGTCAATGGTGAGCTGGGGGCATCACTGGGGGGGGCTGTGGCCTCACAAGGAGGGGGTTTGCAGCATCATACAGTGCCCAGACAGGTTTTCTGGGTTTTCTCAGATTTCTGGGGAATCAGGTTTCCCTGATTTCTGATGGACGCTGGACCTTGATGGTATCTGCACCTTTGCAGACAAGCAAGCCTAAAGCCATCCAGGCTGGTGGCTCCAGCCAGGGTGGGACATAAAAAAAGGGACCAACTTTTATGAGGGATCCCACAGTTTAATTACAAGGAGCTTGTTTGAAGGAGGAACATCAAGAAACAGGGCTGGGAAGGAGTCGCCTCTCTTAGCAAACAGATCAGAAAATCAAATCTTTGTTTTCTTGAAATTCAGCTTTACTCAAATTGCTTTTCCATTTTATTAAGGCTGCATATTAAACTAATTAGCAAATTGTTGGCTTTAGGAGAAGCCTTTCTTTTTAGTCCAGCAGCAAGGCTGTGCCTCTCCTGCTGCACTGGGGGTGGCTGGGAGGAGGTGTGGGCACCAGCAGCTCCTTGCTGGCCCTGCCTGACCTTGAGCAATGAATTTAACCTTCTGGGGGGATGGCTGGGCTGTGGCATGGAGCAGAGCCACCTAATTGAGCCCAATTAGCGAGCAGGAGCTTTGCAGGTGGGGCCGTGCAGCACAGCAGCCCTGGCCCTGCTTTCTCCCTGCCTGCTGCTCCTGAGGGTTGGGAATGAAGGAGTGAGGGAAGCAGGAGGAAGAGGAGGAAGATGGTCCCTGCTTCACCTCCACTGTGTGTATGGGCCCTGCAAAAACCGTTGGCTGGAAGTGACCATTGGTGCCCTGTTCCCTCCTGAGCTTTGGCAAAAATTGGCACTTTTTGGGCTTTATGCAGCCCAGGGCATGCAAGGGCTTAATAACAAAATAATAACTGTAATCCTCCCAGCCCGAGGAATTGCCTTTGAGGGGAAGGCTGTGCCTTTGCCCTGGTGCATTACAACGCTTAATTTTCTTAGAGGAAAATAAGAATCATTTGGGAAGAAACAAAGTATCATTCTTTTCTTTTTTTTTTTTCCCCCTTCCCACTCTGAGCAGATTAAATTGCCAACCTGTCTTCCTGGAAAGTGGGCTTTTAACAAGTGCTGGTGATTAGGGGCTGGCTGTAATCCTGCCAGCCTCTTGAATCACCAAGGAGCCTTTTCGATCTGCACTGCGGTGTTTTCCCATGTTTTGACAATAACAAGTTAATGTGCAGCAAAGGGGGGGGGACCCCCACACACGTGGAGCTGGTGGGGAGGAGAAGGGACAGGGCCAGTGGTGAAGGGGGTGGCAGCCCCTGTGCCAGCTGCTCCTGTCCCCGTTGGCCTTTGGGGTGGTCTCAGCCCCGCCGTGGGGATATGGAGGGACAAGCAGGGGTGAAGCTGGGGGGGTCATGGTGGTCTCCCCACGCCCTGCAGCTCCCCCCACCTTCACGGAGACGCCGCCGCAGTACGTGGAGGCGAAGGAAGGCAGCAGTGTCACCTTGACCTGCATGGCTTTTGGGAACCCCAAGCCCATCGTCACCTGGCTGAAGGAGGGAGAACTTTTGGGTGCCAACGGCAAGTACCAGGTAGGTTTGGGGGGTGGGTGGGGGGTGGTATCCGTGGGGTCCGTTGGTGGCGGCAGCTCCATCGTGCCTGGAGCTTGGAGATGTTTGGTCAACACTTCTCCTTGCTCACTCTCCCCATCTCTTCAGGGACTCCCCCTGGAGACTCTTGTCCTGGGGGCTGGTGGCTGTGCCAGGTCCCGGAGATGGGGTGGGGGCTGCAGCCTGGAGACGTGGGGAGGCACAGGGGGTTTGGGCAGGGAGGGCTTTTCCCCCCCCCCCCCCCCCCCTTTCTCAAGTTCCTTTTTGCATCCCAAAGGCTCTTGGGCAGAGATTTCCCCCCCTGTAGCTGTAATTGGTAAATCAGGCATTGGAATCAGCGCAGGCACTAATGAGAGTAATTAGGAATCATTTGCTACTAATTGAAATGGAAGGGATGAGGCGGAATGCGGCAGGGTGGGGGGAGCCTGGCGGGGAGCAGGGCTCCCTCTGCACGATGGGGTGCTCACCCTGGGGGGGGTGACAGCCCCTTGCCCAGGGGTGACAGCCCCTTGCCCATCCTTCCCCTGCTGTGTCCCTGGGGAGGAATTCAGCTGCTCCTCTTGCAGCTGCCAGGTGACCCCATGGAGGGGAGGGCCTCACCCGAGCTGGGGTGTCCCCCTCGCACCCCACCCCAGGGCTGGAGTCCCTCGGGAGCAGGAGATGCTCCAGAGAGTCTTCCTACTCCTCGGGAAGCACTGATGATGCTGGAGAGCTTGGCAGGAGCAGCGTGGAGTCTGCCACCTGCCAGTCTCTTCTGCGGGAGATGAATGCGTTGCGAGGGTTATTTATTTTATTTTATTTATTATTATGATGATGATGAAGCCTTTTTTTTTTTTTTTTTTTTTCCCCTTGGCGTCGAGCAGAAACGAGTCTGTTGGTTTATTAATACATGAAGCCTTGCAGGGCTGGGGAAACCCGTTTCTCAGCTGGCAGCCCTGCTGTGGGAAGCAGGGAAGGAGGGAGCGTGCGGATGCAGGGCTGGGGTGCTTTCCCCCCACACCCCGGGAGGGTCCCTGCCTCTGCTCCAGGGTTGTGTCCCCCCCATCCTCCCCAGGTGAGCGACGGGAGCCTGACGGTGTTGTCAGTCAGCCGGGAGGACCGGGGTGCCTACACCTGCAGGGCCTACAGCATCCAGGGGGAGGCTGTGCACACCACGCGCCTGCTCGTCCAAGGTGAGATCATCCTTGGGGATCCTCCTGGTCCCCTGCCATGCTTGGGGGTGCCCAAGGATGCCCCCACGGCTGGACAGAGCCCTGGGCCAGGCTGCCCAGAGAGGCTGTGGAGTCTCCTTCTCTGGTGACATTCCAAACCCACCTGGACACGTTCCTGTGTGATGTGCTCTGGGTGCCCCTGCTCTGGCAGCGGGGTTGGGCTGGGGGATCTTTCCAGGTCCCTTCCAACCCCTAAGATGGATTCTGTGACCTCTATGGACCACAGGGCCATGGTGCCACCCCGAAGTGACCCACAAGCCTTGTGTGCTGCCTGCCCTGTGGCTCCACTTCCTGCTTGTAGGGCAGAAGAATCCCCTTAATTGGGGCACGGTGGCAGCGTGGTTTTGTTTGGGAAGCAGGGAAAAGATTGAGGCTGTCACAAAGTGCCTTGTCAGACAGCAGCAGTGCATGGCAGGCCTCCCTCCCCTCTTTCATTTAATAAATCTTTAATTAGGTCAACAGCTACTGGCGGAGAGAGGAGCACTGAGTGTCCTCTGCTCTGCCTTTGTCGTGGACACTCGCTGCCAGCTCCTGCCACTTCCCTGTTTTCCCCCTGGATTTTTCCCCACTGTCCTGGAAATGTGCTTGGATTGAAGGGAGGCATGAGCTTGTAGGCCCTGGGAGATGCAGAGCTGTGCCCCACGGGTGTGGGGCCTCCTCCCCAAAGCTGGAGCGATGAGGGAAGAGGGTTGGGAATCACAGGTCCCCTGTTGTCCCAGGGGATGCAGGGTCAGTTCTGCCCCGGGGCCCTGCAGCAGCTCCCAGCCAACGATGCTGCGATGGAGCTGAGCCTGAGCACCCTTTGTGGGGACACCCTGGTGCTGGTTGGGGGGGGGGTGACACTTTTCTCTCCACGTTCCAGGACCTCCCTTCATCGTTTCTCCTCCGGAGAACATCACAGTTAACATCTCCCAGGATGCACTCTTCACCTGCCAGGCCGAGGCGTATCCCGGGAACCTCACCTACCTGTGGTACTGGGAAGAGGAGAACGTCTACTTCAAGAAGTGAGTCTGCAGCTGGCAGGGTGCTGTGTCCTCATTCCCCCTCCCAAATGGCACTGGGGCCACCAACAAGGTGGGTTTTGCCCTGGGTCTCCTTGTGATCCTTCTCCTCCTCTCTCTCCGCAGTGACCTGAAGCTGAGGGTGCGGATCCTGATCGATGGGACACTGATTATTTTCCGTGTCAAGCCAGAAGATGCTGGAAAATACACCTGTATCCCCAGCAACAGCCTGGGTCGCTCACCATCAGCCTCTGCCTACCTGACAGTGCAGTGTGAGTGTGGGCAGCAGGGTCTGATCCCGAGGGATGGGGCTGGGGTTGATAATGCCTGGCTCTGACACAGCTCTGTTGTCCCAGTATGACCCACAGGGATACTGGGAGGCTTGTGCTGAAGTGCAGCAGCCTTTGGATGGGCATGCAGTCATCCTCAGGGAAAGGCTGGGAGATTGTGTGCTGGTAGGGTGTGGGCAAAGAGAAGGCAAATAGCCTGAGTGTCCTGGGAAGCCCCACTCAGCAGGGACCAGTATCCACCTGGGGTATAAACAGCTTCTGACTGCTCCCTGGAGGTGTTCAGGGCCAGGCTGGATGAGGCTTGTGCAGCCTGGGCTGGTGGGAGGTGTCCCTGCTCAGAGCAGGGTGCTTAGAACCTGATGATCTTTCAGCTCCCTGCCAACCTCAATTCTCTGATTCCCACCACTGCTGTCCTGATGGTGTCAGGCAGAGAAACCCCAGACCAAGGCTGTCAGTCTCAACTACCTGCTGGTATTTGTGGATGTTTATGATGGGGGCTCATTCCCACGACAGGGTGGCATGTCTGTCAGGCTGTAACTGGTCTAAACAAGCAGAGGAGAAGGGGCAGTAGCAGGAGCCTGGCCTCCCACGCTGGTTCTTTGGGGCTCCCTGGCTGGTAACGGGTGCTGTGCCACCAGCATCCTGTGCTGCTCATGGTTGGTGGCCTCAATTGCTCCTGCTCACAAATGCAATATTGCTCTGCTGTGAAAGGCTGCAGCAGCTTTATTTTATAATGAAAGACAGGCTTGAGCAGAGTGGCCTCTCAGCTTGGGCTTTGAAGGCTGCCTTAGAGCTGCTGCCTGTGCAGCCAGTGCCTGTCAGTGGGAAGCCCTGGGACAGCAGGGAGCTGCTGTCAGGGGGCTGGTAGATCCCAGCCTTTTCCCAGGGGGATGGATGAAGGGGCAGGGGCCTGGTGTGACTGGTCATAGAATCATAGAATGCGTGAGGTTGGAAGGGATCTTTAAAGATCATCTGCTCCAGCCCCCCCTGCAGCACAGAGGGACCTTTTTAACTAGATCAGGCCTGACTGAGCCTGACCTTGAATGTTGCCAGGGATGGGGCCTCTGCCACAAAGCTGGGCAACCTGTTCCCAGTGCTTCACCACCCTCGTTGTAAGGAACTTCTTCCTGATGTCTGATCTAAATCTACCTTGCTCTAGTTTAAGGCCATTTTCCCTCATCCTGTTGCTACACACTCTTGTCCCAAGTCCCTCCCCAGCTTTCCAAGAGCCCCTTCAGGCACTGGAAGGTGCTCTAAGGTCTCCCTGGAGCCTTCTCTTCTCCAGGCTGAACAATCTCAGTTCTCTCAGGCTGTCTTCACAGGAGAGATACTCCAGCCCTCTGATCGTTTTTGTCACCCTTCTCTGGACTCATTCCAACAGGTCCATGTCCCTTTTGTATTGATTTGGGGCTTGGATATGCCGGGCTGGGAAAGTCTGCAGCCTCAGGCCATTAAATCTGCCCTGCCACTAATCCGGGCCCACTCGTCAAGGCTGAGAGCTGTTAAAAATAGCTCTTAATGGCAGGAAAAAAAACCCAACCCAAACCAAAAAAAAACAACCTCAGCATTTGGGCAATCTGCTGTTCAGATGGCCCTGCGAGGCTTGGGAGCAAGGAGGTGGGCTTGGCTTTCTGTGCTGCAAACCCCTTTTCCTCCAGAGGAAACCTCAGGATTCCCACCCACCCACCCGAGCTGCCGTGGGATGGGGACACGGCTCTGGGTCACGGGTGAGCTGGGCTGGCCCCCAGCCAGTGACCTAGTAGTGAAAGGCTCGATCCCATTACCCTCTCCCGTGCTGCCAGAGCCCTTGATTACATTTCCTAAGAGGTGGAGTTAAGCAGGAGTGGGGGGGGGTGAAGCCCTCTCCATATGCAGCACTTGGCAATCTGGGTTACGGTGCCATTCCATGGAGCAGCTGGGGCTTCCAGAGCTCCCAAACTCACTTGCTCCAAGAAAGCAGTGAGGACAGGGCACCCTCCACGCCTCCCCCCTACACACCTTTACCCCCAGCTTTGCATTGCTGCTTCAGAAGTGCAGGGATGCTGCATTCCCCCCCCCAAAAAGAGTCATTCATCCCTTAGTGCAGCATCAGCTCCGTCAGGATTTTCCCGTAGCCTCGCGTCTAGACGAGATTGTAGAAATACTTGCTCCTCTTATTAAAAGTCACTGCTTTTTTCTTTTTTAACCCGAAATAAAAAAAAAGCCAAAAAAAAAAAGAAGGAGCTGCTTATTAAAGAAAGTCTAGATTCTCTCCAACCCACTCGCACTTAATTAAAAAGCTCTTAGAAGCACTGTTAATGACACACTCTAGACGGGAGGACTGCAAGACGCGTCGCCGAGTGGGTGGTGCAGTGAGGGGGGGGGGGAGAAGGAGGTTTTAGGGACTTATTTTAAGCTTTTGGATGCCATTGGGAAAGGTGGAGGTGGCTGCTGCTCGGTGTGACCCCTGAGTGCAAACAGACTGGGGGGTGAAGGGCTCAGGGCAGCCTGGCTGTGGATCCCTTCCCCTGTGTTGCTTGCTGCAGTTGGTGTGTTTTCAGTGGGATTAGTTTTGACTGGGGGGTGGGCTTGCTGGGTGAGCCGGAATGTTTAATATTTCTTGTTAGCTGCAGCTTTTAATGAGCCCCAGGCAGGAACACCCTGGGCATGAGTAAAGCCTCCCAGAAATGCCAGGTATTTGTGTGTGGCAGGTCTGGAGGTAACAACCTGTGAGAGCCCAGGTGGCCTCTGGGTGTGGAATTCATGATAAAAACCAGGTAGATCCTCTGAGCTGGGTAGTGAGGGAGAGGTGGGCTTCTTTCCTGGGGTAACTTGGTGGTGCTGCTTCCTCACCCAGATCCTGCCCGGGTGGTGAACATGCCCCCCATTATCTACATTCCCATCGGGATACACGGATACATCCGCTGCCCGGTGGAGGCAGAGCCCCCGGTCACTCTGGTCAAGTGGAACAAAGACGGACGTCCCCTGCGAATCGAGAAGGTAAAGAAGCCCCCAGGGAGGGGAGGTGTGGGGGCACCGAGGGGTTTGGGCCTCACATCCTCTGCAGACACCAGTGAGCATCACTGGCTGCCCTGTGGGTCCAGCCCCCATCAGGAGAGGAGCAGCCCCCGGGGTGGGATGACTCTGCTTTTCCTTATCAGAGTTAATCTGGGTTCTTTTGGGAAGCCCAGGGCGTCTGGAGGTCTGTGTCTCCCAGACCTAATGCCTGTTGCCATCCAAAGTGACCTCCTGATGGCCCTTTCCAGTGGCAACTGCTGGTTAAAAGACCCTTTTAACAAGTCTCTGTCTTCTTATAACCATAGTTGGATAGTCTGAACGAGGATAATAGCCATTAAATATTTAAACAAAATGCTCAGTATTTTACTTTTTTTTTTCTTGTTTTCACTTAAATATTAATGATCCCAAGTTTTAAGTCAATTTCAGCCTGTTGCTGCTGTGGGTTCCTGGCCCTTGGTGCCCTCAGCCCCTTGGGTGGAGCTGTCTCTTTGGTGCAACCTGTGATAGGTTCTGATGTTAAATCTGAGGGGTTTGGCCAAGCTGATCTTGCCCACATTTCCCCTCTCTGCAGCTAAGGAGCTGACTTGGATGCTGGGAATTGACTTAGGCATCTCCCAGGGAGCAGCCCTGGGCTTAGGTGGGGGATCTTGGCTGAAGGGAATATTCTAAGTGGTGCTGGGTGTGGGATAAATCAGCTCCTCCTTTCTCACTGCTGCAGTATGCTGGCTGGAACCTGCTGGAAGACGGGTCGATCCGGATAGAGGAGGCAACAGAAGATGCTCTGGGCACTTACACCTGTGTGCCTTATAATGCCCTGGGTACGATGGGCCAGTCTCCCCCTGCCCGACTGGTACTGAAGGTAACTCACCTGCTAAAATCCCAGCACGTTTGCTGGGGGTTTGTGTCCCCTCTTGCCGAGCAGGTGCTCCCAAGGTTGTACAAGGGTGTCCCAGGCCTGCTGGTGTGAAGGTGTGTGTGCTTTGTGGAGGTATCTCACACCCTAATGAGGCTTTTTAAATGTGGGTGTTGCTGATTCTGCCTCCCTGGTCAGCCCAGTGCTGAAGGGGTGGATGAGGTGGGTTGGTTTCTTCCCATGCTGTTTATTCGGTTGTTCATTCTGTGTGAAAATTCAGGTTTTTCTTGGCTTTTATGAGTGCTTCTCCATGAAGAGAGGTCAAGAAGGGTTCTGTGCCCCCAAACTTATCTGCTTTTCCACTTACATTACTCAGCTTAGCAAAAATCTGTTGCCTCTTGCTCTGAGCCTTGTCTCTCTTAGCTGTGCTGAGAAGGGCAAACACAGGCCCTCGTGGGCATCCTTGCTCATATGAGGCTTTGGTAGTGCTGGATCAGGGTAGTCTGAGCAAACATGTCCCTGGGATGGCCTTTTTGCCAACAAAAGGCTTAATCCTGCTGACCTGGCCTTGGGTTCATGAAGGATTTTAATAACTGGATGAATTGAGCTTCAGAGATGTTGTACATGCTCTTGCTGCTTGCAGAGCCCGAGGCTTACTGGGCTCCTGGTGTGATTCCCAGTATGGCTGGGCTGGGAACTGCTGGCTCTTCCTTCCCAGAACAAAACATCCCATGCTTGTGAGCAGTGACTCACGGTGTCTCACCGAGGTTCACATGATAACACTTTGTGTACCACAGACACACACGTCTGTAAAGACGCTGGGAAGTCAGAATCCAGTTGATGCCTGATGTGCTGTGGGTGGTTTTCTTTCCTGTTTACCTCCTTAAAACTTCCCCGAGGTGCCCTAGTACAGCAGCTCTCTGGAGGAAGCTTCCCCTGGGGTGTATAATTTGGTGTACCTCTTAGTACACCCTCTCTGCTGTGCCTTTCCTTGCCTCAACCTTACCCAAACTGGTGATTCGTTTGGTTTGGAAAAGGGTGGGTTTTGGTGGTGTGGAGCTGCTGGTGCATGGTGGGACTTGGTGTGGGGTTGACACTCTTTGCCTTCAACCTTGGTGTGGGTTTGACACTCTCTGCCTTCTCCCTTGGTGTGGGGTTGACACTCTCTGCCTTCTCCCTTGGTGTGGGGTTGACACTCTTTGCCTTCTCCCTTGGTGTGGGGTTGACACCCTCTGCCTTCTCCCTTGGTGTGGGGTTGACACTCTCTGCCTTCTCCCTTGGTGTGGGGTTGACACTCTTTGCCTTCTCCCTTGGTGTGGGGTTGACACTCTTTGCCTTCTCCCTTGGTGTGGGGTTGACACTCTCTGCCTTCTCCCTTGGTGTGGGGTTGACACCCTCTGCCTTCTCCCTTGGTGTGGGGTTGACACCCTCTGCCTTCTCCCTTGGCCTGGGTTTGACACTTTCCCTTCTCCCTTGGCTGCAGGACCCCCCCTATTTCACGGTGCTACCAGGCTGGGAGTACAGACAAGAGGCAGGGAGGGAGCTGTTGATTCCTTGTGCTGCTGCCGGAGACCCCTTTCCCATCATCGCCTGGAGAAAGGTACCCGGCCTGCCAGACAAATCTGCAGGGCCTTTGGCTTTTGGTGAATATTGCAGACAGAGAAGCCACACTCTGTCCCGGTAAGAACAAACTGCAGGTACAGCTGCTTCGCTTCGGGCTGAGCCACTGCCATCCTGTCCCACAGGTGGGTGGGGGAAGCCCAGCTCGTCGCCACCAAGTGCCTTAATCCCGTGCAACCCTCACAGCAGCATCTGCCAAGCTGAGCCCTGCCCCTGTCCCCCTTCCTCTTCCTCACCTCAGGACACCCTCCTCACCAGCAGGACACGGCAGCCCCGCTGATGCTGTTCATGGGGCACAGCCCAACCGTGGTGGGAGGGGATGTGCCACTGGAGCGTGTCCAGGGGTCTCTTGGCTTCATTTTGGAGAGGAGCTGGACCAGTCAGCGGCTGCTTTGCTGCCCTCTGACTTTGAAGAGCCTGGAAAGAAGATGTTTTGACTGTGCTGGACTGGACATAACGATTTTGGGATGTCCCTTTCTGTAGAGCAGGGTAGGATTCAGTGTCGTGACACAGCCTGGGAACAACCAGGGCTTTCCAGTCCTCCTCCAGCCTTCCCTTTTCTTCCCACCTTCACTGCTCCTGTAGGAAAACCACCATGCATGGGACCTTCTGGGCTCCTTGTCTCTCTTTCAGGATTTTCTATCCAAGCCTCCCATCCCCTTCTTAGGGCTCCTGAGATGAGCAGGGTCCCTGTGTCCCCCAGTGGGGGCTGTTCTCAGTCTTTGCAGTGTGAGATGCTGGATCTCTTTGTAGAGATCCTTTTACCAGCACAAGGAGGACCATGGCATGCACAGGTTGCAAGTGACCTACCTACAACTTGTAGGTCCTTTAGTCTTGTTTTCTCTATCTTATTTTTCCTTCCCTTTCCCCCCTCACCATTCTTATTCGGGTTTCCTTTCAGCCCCTCTTGTTTCTTCTGGTTGTCATGTCAGGACTCTGGGCTCATCCTCCCCAGCTCCAGCCAGGGCTGTCTTAGGCTGGGCTGAGTTTCCCAGTGCCAGAAGCAAGTTCCCATTGTCAGTCCACCAGCTCTGAGCAGTCTCTTGAAGAACTTCTGAAGATTTTGTCTTGGCACTGGTGACCCTAGGTGCTCATCTGCCCCTCGGTTCGTCCTGCATGGCATCAAACCATGGTCCTGGTGTCCATCAGCAGAGACCCTTGCATGAAGAACAGCTGGAGAGGACAACAAGGCATTCACACAGCTTTGCCTGATGGACCTAGACAGGAGTTGTTACAAGATACATTTTTCTGCTCGGCTTCAGATCTCCCCGACACCTCCAAGCACACCTTCCTCCCACATCCCTGTGGGGCCCTTTGCTGCCCAGACCTCTGACATGAAAGGTCCTGCCTCTCCTCTACCCCTGCCTGAGGGGCAGTTTGGGCACCTCCTGGGGCAGGCGCGTGTGCCGGGGCCCCTTCCTCGCAGCGCTTCCAGCGCTTGGATGCGGGAGGTGGCGGCTCAGGGTCCGTGTGAGTGCCGTGGGGTTTTCCGCTTGCGTGCGAGTGCTGAGCACCAGCCTCCTGACACCTGTGCCTCTCACGTTGCCCCGCCAGGTCCTCTCGAAAATGGGGGAACCGGCTGCCTTGCCACGACCGGAGAGACCAGACCTCTTGCTGGTGGCCGGCGGTGTCCCCTGGGCCACGCAGGTAGCTTAGTTGACCCCGCTGCCGCCTCGTCCTGCCCCTCAACCTGCTTCTGAGTCCCTGTTTTGTTGTGTGTGTTTGTTCTTTGTTTGTTTTTTTTTTTTTCTTCCTCCCTCTTTACCCCGGATCTCCTTGCCCAAGGTAGGGAAGCCCAGCAGGAGCAAGCACAACACCCTGCCCGGCGGCACCCTGCAGATCCGCTCCCTGGGCAAGGACGACCACGGCGAGTGGGAGTGCGTCGCCACCAATGTCGTCGCAAGCATTACTGCCAGCACCCACCTCACTGTCGTAGGTACGGGCAGGGGATGGGTCCTCGGGGACAGCTGGGGGTGAGTCCCTGGATTGGCTTCCCCCGGGTAGTGCATCTGCAAGGCAGGAGATGGGGAAACGTCCTGCGAAAAGCAAAGCGGTGTCTCCTTTAAATCGTCTTTACTGGCCTTTTCCTGCTCTGTTATCACAGAATCATGGGATGGTTTGGGTTGGAAGGGAGCTTGAAGATCATCTAGATCCAACCCCCTGCATGGGCAGGGACACCTCCCACCAGCCCAGGCTGCTCCAAGCCCCGTCCAACCTGCCCTTCAACACTGCCAGGGATGGGGCAGCCACAGCTTCCCTGGGCAACCTGGGCCAGGCTCTCACCACCCTCACACTCCACAATTCCCTCCTCATGTCTCACCTCAATCTCCCTCTTCCAGTTTTCATCCCTTCCCCCTTTTCCTCTCCCTCCCTCCCCTTGTCCCAAGTCCCTCCCCAGCTTTCCTGGAGCCCCTTCAGGAACTGGAAGGCTGTTACGAGGTCTGTTTCGGCCACCTGTGGGCCCGGCTGTCCTGCTGCTGTTCCTAGCAGAAATTCCAGGTGGCTTTGCAGATCCTTTCCTTCGCCAGCCAGCCTCTGGTCTTGCTGCCCTCCAACCCTTCCCCTTCTCCCTGCAGGCACAAGCCCTCACGCCCCGACCAGCGTGCACGTTGTGGTCGCCATGACCTCGGCCAACGTCTCCTGGGAGCCGGGCTACGACGGTGGATACGAGCAGACTTTCTCAGTTTGGTACGGCCCTCTGTGAGTCATCCTGGCATGCTTTGCTCTCTGCTTCTTTTCTTTCCTAGCTGACCCGAGCTTCCAGCAGCCCGGGGTGTGGGAGGAGGAGGGTGGGGAGGGTGGTTTTCCCCTGGGCATCGCGGGGCTGAGCTCCCGTTCGGTGCCTTGGAGAGGTGGGTGGTGGTGGGATCATGTAGGTCCGGTGTTTCCTCTCCCTTCTGTGCCAGCCAGTAGCTCCGTCTGCCCCAGCAGGTTTTGTTCTGCTCGTGGTGCAAGAGAGACACTTGGCATTCATGTAACTTTGCTTCTGGCATCTAATTTCAAGATAAACTGTTTATGGAGCCAGGGAGAGGATGGAAAATGCAACCTTTGTAGAGCGCGTCCTGGAAGAGCTGTGACTAAGCAGAAATGATCTCTCCTTGCTCTGTGGCTCCCTGGAGGTGGTGAAATCCTGGCTGAGTTCACAACCAGGTGCTGGCTGGGTCTGAGCCTGGTGGGGCTTTGCTCCCACCACTCCTGTGCCAGCCTGTGCTACCGGTACCCAGAGCCAGCAGGTGTATCCCAGCTTCCCACAGCGGGGCTGGGCTCAGCCTGTTGGCTTCCTCTGGGGCAGGGGAGGGCAAAACGGAGCTGCAGTGAAGTTGGGGTTTTCTCTGGGCTCTGCACTTGCTCGTGTCTTCCTCTTCTGAAGAGCTGGCCTTGGAAACATGCACCTTCCCCTCCTCATTCCGAGGCTGGTGTTCTTCAGCCTCTCTTCTCCATCTCTCTTTCCTTCCTTGCCTTAATTTGCCCTGATGGTGACTGCTGATAGACTGGAGATAAGGTCGATGCTGACTGTAACAATTTCTGCTCTGCTCCAGCCCCAGGCTCCCCGGGTGGGGCTGGACAGGCTGTCAGGAGATGGAATGAAGGAGGAATGGAGCAAGCAGAGGAGGAAAAGGAAGGAGCAAGTGGAGCAGTGCAGACCTTGCTCTGATGGAAATGTCCTTGGGAAGGAGTGGTTAAGCCTCTCTGCTCCCGAGAGGTGGCTCACCTAGGGTGGAGGTGGCAGCTGCTGCTGGGTTCCTGCTTCTTCCAGACTCCACACCAGGGGGAAACAGCAGCAGCATTCCCCTAGGGAATGTACAGGGTGCTGTGGGGACCTAGGAGTGGGTGGCAGAGACCCATCTTGCCCTGACTGTAAGGTGTGAGCCTTGGGGGCTGTGTTGCTCCCTGGGACTGGGGAGCCCAGGAGAGATGGATGGTGCTGGGTCATCCCATGGCATCAGGAGCTGGGCATTTTCCTCCCTGCTGTGACAATGGGACTCTCAGGCAAGAAATGGCTTTGCCTCCTGTGGAGTTCGTGCTTCCTTCCTGCCCGCTTCTGTGGTTGTTGCTGGAAATGCAGTCCCTGGGGATGGCCAGGGCCTCTGCAGCATCCCTCCTGCCTTTGTGCTCTGCCTCAGCAAGGCCCATCTCCCATCCCCGGGGGTGATTAGCATGGTGTTTCCCCCCTGCTTTCCCCACCCTCAGCCCCTTGCTGTGCTGTGCCTGCCCGCAGCAGCTGGGAGAGGGGATGCAGTGGGGTTCAAGGCGCAGGGAAACCACCAGGCTGCTCCGCTGCCCTCCCTGCCGCCCTTGTCTTGGTGAGGGATCCTGGGAGCTGTAGTCCCAGGCTGAGCTGCAATGATTCCAGAGGCTCTTCTTCCTGGTTTGGTGCATGCTGACTTGCTTGTTTCCATAGCTTGCTGCTGCTTCTCCTGCCTCACCTTTTGCTCCCTTCACAGCGGCATTATTTGTCTTTGCTCCACCTTTTACCTCCTACTTGGTGGATTGACCTGGCTGTGGCTACAGATCTGCCCACTTACCTCTGCAGAACAGTCTTGCTGCAGTAATCCTTCCCAAATCCTCTTCAGGCACCACTGAAACCAGCAGCCAGGGGCTGGGTACTTGCATGGATACTTGTAATATTGCAGCACAGTGGTGCTGCTTCAGGACATGGAGCTGTTCCACCCTGGTGCTTCCTGGTGGGGTTATGGCTTGTGGAGGTGGCTACACACTCATGGGGTGACACTGGGATGGCTCTGGGGGCTTTTTCTTTTTTTACCCTGGGTTTGTGAGTTATAGACCCCTGTGGAGAGGTTCTCCTGTGGAGAGGTCCTCCTGTGCTTCCCTTGACTTCCTCTGCTGTGCTGCCAAACCTTGAGTTATGCCCTGGGCAGTGCTGGCAGCCCCTGGCTTGTGCAAATACAGCAAAAAAATGGCAATTTAGTTAAATATTTATCATGAGACTGCATGTACAGGGCGACAGCTGAGAGAAAACTTGGCTCTGACTCAGGAGCAGTCAAGATGTAAATGGGAACAGGGCCCATCTCTTGTTCCAGCCATCCCCTCTGCAGCACTTACTGGAGTACAAATGCATCAGCTTCCACTCTAGCTGGTGGGATCTGATGGGGGTAACCTCAGAGCAGGGGTGTTGGCACAGCTTCTGTCCCTCAGCCTGCTCAGAGGGTGCAGGTGGTGCATGGCAGAGGGGAGGGCTGGTAGCCTTGTCCGTATGAACTGGGGGATGCTGGTGTGATGGGATGGGACTGTGGCCTGTGGCAGGCCTGGTGTGCACTGTCCCCAAGCCAGCTCTGGGGCAGTGAGTGGCTGCCCCACGTCCATACACATCCCTGCTGTCAAACCAAACCATCGCTTGGGAAAGCTCCATTTTCCTCTCGGGAAGTGAACGCTGCCTCTTGGTCCTGCCTGTCAAAAGCTCCATCCCTGAGGATGCTCCTTTTTCTCTCGGCAGGATGAAAAGAGCCCAGTTTGGCCCCCACGACTGGCTGTCTCTCCCTGTGCCAGTTGGTTCCAATTGGCTACTGGTGGATACTTTGGAACCAGAGACTGCATACCAGTTCAGTGTCTTGGCTCAAAACAAGCTGGGCACCAGCTCCTTCAGTGAGGTGGTCACTGTGAACACTCTAGGTAGGTCCTCCATGGGCACAAGGGGAGGAGGGGAAAGGGGTTCAGGAAGTCTGTGGGGAGGAGAAGTGTCCCTCTGCCTTGGTCCATGTGTCCTATCTGCTGGGGATGGAGATGGTGATCAGCAGCAGTAGCTTCCAGCCATGTAGTTCGTGGAGGGTCCTGGATGAAGTTTGTAGACTTTGCTGGATGCATGAGGCTCCAGAAAGCTTGTCCTTAGTGGCAGCATGGGAAAGCTGCACTGTACCAGTCATCTTTCAGATCTTCCTTAAGTTCAGCCAAGGTCAGGAGGTGTTAATAGAGCACAAAATCACTTGCGTGCCTGCTCAGAGCAGGAGCCAACACAAAGGGCCTTGTGCTGGTACCTGCCTTGGGCTGTCTGAGCGGAGGTGGGAGGAAGCAGGAGGTTTCCTCTAATGCTGTGTCCCTTTTCTTGGAGTCACTACTTTGTTAGTCCCCTGCTTTTTGGAACACCAGTTCTGTACCTCTGAGATAAGAGAGCACATGCCTGAGATGTGCCCTAAGCTCCCAGAAGGTGGGAACTGCTGCTGCCACGGTGCCCTGTCACCACATGTGGGAGAGCATCCCCTCTTAGCGGTGTCCCTGTCCCATCTGCTCTCCCTCCAGCATTCCCTGTAACAACTCCAGAGCCTCTGGTGTTGGTTACCCCACCGAGGTGCCTAACAGCCAACCGGACACAGCAAGGCGTCCTCTTGTCATGGCTTCCTCCCGCTAACCACAGCTTCCCCATCGACCGCTACATCATGGAGTTCCGCGTCGCCGAGAGGTGGGAGATCTTGGATGATGGTATCCCGGGAACTGAGAGCGAGTTTTTTGCCAAGGACTTGTCCCAGGTGAGCAGGGGCTGCACCCACACCAAACCCCTGGTGTTGCACCGGCTGCTGCAGCTCTGGGGGAGCTTTTAGGGTGGTGTGGTTCCCCATGCTGGGGCCTTCAAGGAGTTGGGCAAGGTTGGAGGTTGTTGTGGGGGACCTGATGGATGTAGTTGGTCTTAGGGGGCCTACAGGAAATGTTCAGAAGGAGGTGTAGCAATAGGATGAGGGACAATGGCCTTAAACTAGAGCAGGGTAGATTTAGATTGGATATCAGGAAGAAATTCTTCATTATGAAGGTGGTGAAGCACAGGAGTGGGTTGCCCAGAGATGTGGTAGGGACCCCATCTATGGAAATATTCAAGGTCAGGCTCAACCAGGCTCTGAGCAACCTTACCTAGTTAAAAAGGTCCCTGTGCACTGCAGGGTGGACTGGGCTAGATGACCTTTAAAGGTCCCTTCCAAGCCCACACATTCTATGATTCTGTGGTTTTCAGGACACCTGGTACGAGTTCCGGGTCCTGGCGGTCATGCAGGATCTCATCAGCGAACCCAGCAACGTTGCTGGCGTGTCCAGTACAGGTAAGGGGTGGCTCCTTCTTCTACCTCCAGCTGTGGGAGCATCTCCACTGGGAAGCTAGCATTCAGGTCATCTGTCAGTGCTTGCTTGCAGCAGCGATGGCTGTTTTTGTGCTCTTGCCTGAGACATTTGTGCTGTGAGCTGGGCTGCTGGGCACAGGGTTAGGATCAGAGTCCCAGGCATGCTGGTGGCCCCGTGCCACCTCCCAGTGCAAACAGGACAGGTTGCCCAGGGAAGCTGTGGCTGCCCCATCCCTGGCAGTGTTGAAGGGCAGGTTGGATGAGGCTTGGAGCAACCTGGGCTGGTGGGAGGTGTCCCTGCCCATGCAGGGGGTTGGATCTAGATGATCTTTAAGGTCTCTTCCAACCCAAAGCATTTTATGATTCTATGATAGAGCAGGGGTGAGGACAAACTGCCCTGGTTAGTCCTTCCTGGGGATCACAGTATTGCCAGGTGTCCACTGGTGCAGAGTTGTCACTCTCAGCTCTGCGGGGTGCCCTGGAGAACAAAGCTCCAACCAAGCACTGCGCAACCTGGAAACGAGAATGAAAGGAGCAGAGAGGGAAGCGTAGCACTGCAGTGCAGAGTCCGGAGGGAAAAAAAGCTTTGCAACCCGAGGCAGCAACACGCTGCGGCAGGAGCACGTACCCTGCACCTCGGCCCGGCTGGGAGGATGCTCCTCGAGCAGGGGACAGCTGAGGACATGCGTGACGGGAAGGCAAGGGCAGCAGGAGGGGATGGGCATGTGGAGAACCCTGCTTTTACGGGAAAGCCGAGCGGTTCTGCT